TAATGGGGTCTCAATGGTTACATATTTGTCCTGCTTCGTAAAAATATGTTGAAGCCATAACATTATTTAGACTCTGGGCAGGAAGAAAAGGGTATTGTCTGAGATTGGGAGAATATGTAATTCTGGTTTTGATCGTTCATTTTGCATGGCCAAATCATTTTTTTCCCTGAACAGTTTATCATTACTTGACTGCCGCATTTAAGTTTTTGGCATGACTGTTTTGTAACTTGTGGTTCTTATGATTTAATCATTGTACGTTGCTACATGATATTTTTTGCCATTACTGTTCATTAACTCTGTTTTTAATAATCATCCGTTATAGGTCGCTGCTGAAGAAACTCAAGAGTGTGGTGGTAGATCAAATTTCTAATGAGGCAGCATTTGCGGAGCCAATCAATCTGTTTGATTCAAACGGTCAACTGCCTCTCACGCACATGTTTCTGAAGCACCTGAAGTCACTTCTGCTGCCAGCGTTGAAGTAGAGGAGCCTCTCTTTCATGAGGATGACTTATTGGAAATGAATGATCTAATTGATGCTGAAACAGAATTGCCAAAAATAGAAAATCCGTTGGAGAACTTGAAGTTTGAAGATGGATTAAGCGCACTTGACTTGTACCATGATGCAGAGATGTTTCTTTCGCTTCATCAACCTCCGGTTCTTATTGCTTTATGTGCTTTTTTATGAGTTTCTATGGGGACACTGAGACTACTTGGGAGATCCATCTCTTGACATCTGAATCCCTAGTTTTGCTACTATGTGTTATATGGGATTCCCCTGATTCAATGAACAAACGTCTATTGTCCTAACATATTTTAATAATAAAAAAAAAACAGGAATTTACCTTCTGTTTCTTTTATTTAATTTTCTTTTATTTTTATGAATATTGAACTGGAGAAGGAAGGTTTTTATGGCCTGAATGAGTGTTAAAATGAAAGAAGGGCTTGTAATTGTAAGTAGATGAATGCTGGGTGACTGCAGCATCACACGAGTCCTATTTATTTGTTTATTTAATAGTTTTTATAGCCTATGCTAATCCAATGCCGTTTGGGAGCCCTCATTTTGGCCAATGGATCATATAAATATTCACCTTCCTGTGAAACTTGTATATCTATAGTGTTATTTCTCTCTACTGTAATTTTTAATTTTACTAGCGTGTTACGGTTGTTGGTACGACGGTGACATGGTTGCTACTGTTTTATTTTATGCAGATGAGTTGCAAGTAATCGATGGATATTTGTTTGGGAAAGGAAAAAAGCAGAGTTATCATAGTTTTCCCATCAGATTTTTATCAATAAATATATGGTGTGTGTGTATATATATATATATATATTCATGAATATGCATCATATAATCAAATAATTTAATATTTTTACACAATTGGGAAAACTCATTCTAATATTTTGTACAAGGGATTGGGCTGAACTGTGTGACTAGTTAGCTATTATATAAGATGATAGTGTCTTTTTCTCGTGCTTTTTTTTTTTGGCGTGGAAAGGAATTCTTTTTAATATATTTGGGAAGGTGGGAATCGTATTTCGTTTGTTTATTCATTATTATTATTAATGCACATCCACTTTGGTTTGGGAGCAAACATTTTGTAGAATGGATTATATAAATAATTACATAATTATGAAACCTGTGCAAATGAAATAAATATATCCAACTGTAATCAAGAGAAGGAATATATTGTAGCAAATCGTTTGTATCGATTATAATTTTTAAAAATATTAAAATGAAATCCTAAATCTCTCTGTAAAAATAAGTTTTTTTGACATCTTAATGAAAACGGGATCTAAAAGACTAAAACTACAAAAAGAGGAAGAGGAAGAGGAAAAAGAAAGAAGAAAGTGAAAGAAAAATCCAGCGTTCTGTTCTCAACTTACTTTTTGGCGGAGAAATTTATTTGTTGGCGGAGAAATTTATTTGACTCATAATTACGGGCCCAATATCATATGTTCTGTTCTCAACTTATTTTGGTAGGCAGAAATTTATTTGCCCAAAAAAATAAATAAATAAAACATCCACTCCTGCTTTCAATCAGGCCGTAACTCAGTTTCAGAACAACTTGAGCCCAAACTTAATAAGTCTACTGGGCCTGGTAAGAAAGGTAATATTGGGCGCAAACTTAACATGTTTGTGGTTCTAATTTCTTCCGGTTAGACATTCTTAGACAATACTATTTTTTTTTAAATATAAGACTTAGTTAAATAATTTGAAAGGATTAAAAAAGTTATTAAATTATTTAATCACAACATATATTACATGATTTTTTTAAAATACTTCTATGTATTATTATATTATATATCAATTTATAAGTAAAGCAAATTACTATAACTAGTCCTTAGTATACAAGTTAGTTTAACATTCAATTTGGTTCTAACCATAAGACCCAAATTTACTGTCTCTCATATTTATTTATGTTTTTTAAAGTAATCCTTATAGTAGTTGCACATATTAAATATTTTATCAAATAATAATTTTAGCCAATACACATTATTAGTAAAGAAATTTTAGAAAAGACAACATCTATTTATTATAAATAATTAAATCAAATAATTTTTTATATTCTCAAATTCGTCAATTAACTCTTATATTAAAGATCAGAAATAGTATATAAATACTTTAACATAATTTAGTAATTATTTAATTTTTTAAAAAAAAATTAACTGGGCTTTTAACAACAAAGTTTTATGTCAAAAGCGTTTGATATTATTTAGTTTTAAAGGTGTAAAAGTAACCACAGACATTAAGGGTCCGTTTGGATGAGCGATTGGAAAAGCAGCTTATAGGAAAAGTAGCTTATGGAGCAGTGAAGTTGGTAAAAGCTAAATTGGATAAGCTGAATTGTGTTTGGATTGGAGTTCAGAAAAGCTAATTTGCAGAAGTGAGATTGGTAAAAAGGTGTTTGGATTATAGTTGAGTAAAAGTGAGTTTGGTTATAAAATGACTAAAATGGGTATAAGTGTTAATAAATAATGAAATATGATAAAAAAATGATTTGACATAATACAATGAAATTAAAATAATTTATTATGAAGAAGTCAAATTAATGAGTGAATTAAATTTTAAAATTTCAAAAAAATATAACAAATATTTTAAATATAATGTGAAACATGAAAAAAAATGAATTGATATAATACAGTGAATTATTGTTAATTTGATATGAAGAAGTGAAATTGATCGAGGGAATTAAATTTGAAAACATAAGAGAAATGGAAAAAAATTGCAAATATAAAACGAAACATAATTTGAATGGGTAAACATGTTTTTAACTCCAATTTACAGTATTGCAATAAAGTGAAACTAAATAATATTACATAACTAATCAATAGATAAGCTATGGATAATTTGGTCTCTGATTGCATCACGGACGCGATTCATATGCGATGAAGACTGTGATGTAACATTTGAAGATGATGGTTGACTAGCTTCAGCCTGATCATGTTCGCCCACATTATTACCATTTTCAGCTTGTTCAAAAAACAAGTCGGAGCTCGAATGTCTCCTTATAAGGTTATGAATGGCCATTGTTGCACAAACCAGATACACTTGTGTTTGGAAGTCGTAACTGCGCATATTTCGGAGGACTTGAAATCTATTCTTCCAAACACCGAATGTTCTTTCTATTGTGCACCTTAAACTGGAATGATAATAATTAAAGGCTTCGTTGCTATTTCGGAATCCTACTTGTCGTCGGAAGTCTGGAAGGTGGTAGCGCTCAGATCTGTATGGACCTAGATATCCATTTGGTGTTGGATATCCCGCATCAACCAAGTAATATTTCCCTAATGATTCATGAAACAATTTGAGAGATTGTGAAATGAATAAAAATATGAAATAATTAAAAAAACATGCATGATTGGAACACATAAACATATACCTGGAGGTGGATGAGGGAAATTAAGAGATGAATTTGTAATAGCACTATCAAATATACGAGCATCATGTGCAGATCCCTCCCATCCTGCCAAGACAAAAGTGAAACACATATCCCAGTCACATACAGCCATGACATTTTGTGATGGATATCCCTTTCTGCCAATAAATTTGTCTCGTTTTGCAGCGGGGACAACACACTGTATATGAGTGCCATCAATTGCTCCGATTGCGTCCTTAAAAAATGGGTAGTAACGTGGATCGTTCTCAATTTTTCTATGAGTTCCACGAAATGTTGGATCTATGGGTCGAATAAGTTCACTCGATAGGCTAAGACAAGCTTGCAGTACATTATGAAAGTGCCTACTTACAGTTTCCCCTGATCGTTGAAATCGTTCCTGGATCATCCTATTGCATTGTCCATGTGCAACCGTGTTTAAAAACATCGCAACCATTTCTTCAATTCCTACGTACTTAGACTTTTGTAAACCATGTTCCACCAATTTAGTACATAAGAGGTGGAAAACATCTTTATCCATTCTAAACATTTCATGACATCGATCATCATGCCCATTCATAATGCCTTGTACCCATAAATTTCCTGTCTGCTCACTAGTTCTGCACGGTTGTTTAAACATGTACATTTCACAATAATGACCAACCAATGCACCTACTGCTTCATATTGTGTTAATTCCTCATTAATTATGGTTGAATGGTCATCTTCATTTGGCTGTGAATCGTTATTCCAATTCCATAAAGTATCTTCATTCCATGGTGAATCATCGTTCCAATTAGCCATTTCTGGAATTAACCCTGTAATTATGGTGAAAACAAAATGTAAGCATTATAAGGATTACACTAAACAAAGTGTAAATAATTTTCATACTGCAAACAGAAAAACCAAACGCATAGATGACAAGTAGAAATTAGCGTAAATATATTACATAATGATTAATAAAGTTCCTACAACATGCCATATCAGTTTAGGTTAAAACATAATGATTAATAAAGTTCCTACAACATGCCACATCAGTTTAGGTTAAAACAGCAGGTAGTTCAGGTTAACAAGTGCAATAACAATAGTTAAACAGCTAAGTCCTAAACTAAATCCTATTCTGCAGGTCACTTCCATGTGTCTGGGTCTTGTGCTGCCGGTATCAACCACCTCAACAACTTGCTTCTATCATGCATAAACCCCAAATAGGCTCGCCTAGCCCACCTCAACTGCGTAAGCATCTTGGCACATGCATAATATAGTTGATTGTCATCATTAAGCTCCTCAACGGTAGTCAGGTGTGCCAAAACCTTATCAACTACTTGGGGATCTTCAACCAATGCTGCTGCTCGCTTGTCAGAAGCAGCTGCTATGACACTCAGGCTATCAGAAATTAATGTAGATGCAGCAACTTTCTTCTTCCTCTTTGCATCTGATGTCTCACCCCTCTTTCTCTTTCCATAGCTTCCTGAGCCACTTGGTCCAGTACTTGCGGGGGTGTTTATGTTGCAAGCAGCGAAGTCATTTGTGAACCCTGCACTGGCTGTTGGGTCCACACCAAAGTTTTCATCCTCACTATCCCCTGACCCTTCTTGTTGGTCTAGCCCGACTCTATAAACATCCTCCTCCTCTTCTATGTCAGGCTGTGGAGCAAACGCTGGCTGAGGCTGTGAAGCTGATGGTGCGTACGCATACTCTCCCGAAGCCACAACATCTCTGAATATTTTCATCAATCTGATGCAAACATCAACCCCTGATGTCTAAATTTCTTGAAATTAGGGTCCACCTACATGAACATAATTAGGCATAATTAAGCGATGTTCCTTCTGATATTCAAAATTAAAACTCAACTAACACAAATAGTTACCAGTATTTTTGTTGCCACCACTCATCAGAGGCCAACACCCTATTTGTGGCTGCATCATAACCAATGCCAGTCTCCCCAGACATCAGTTTTTCCCACAACTTCCAATCTTTTCTCAATACATCAAATCTGTTCTTCAGTTGCCTTCTGTCATACATTTTCCCGCTCCTTTCCCGAAAATTCTTTTCAATTTTCGCCCAACCAGGTCTTGTAAACGATGTTCCTTGTCTTTCTTTGTGCACTATTTGCTCGGCACAAACATCGATTAGAATTTTTGTCGTGTAATGATCCCATGTCGCTTTTCCCCTGTCATTATCCATTTCTCTACGTCCTTTGATCGACATAAAAGTAACTGAATCAACCAAAGTCCTAAATATGTAATAATAAAAACTGTATTATATAACACATATGTTGTAACCAAACAAACATATATCACCAAGTAACACATTTTAATTGCATAAGCTGTTTAGTTTTCTTATTCGATATTTTTTAACATTATAAATATATAATCACAATGTCAATGTCCACTATTTTCCGGTGGTAATTGATTGTGAACATTTTAAAATTAAATTTTCAATATATCATATAAATTGAACCTAAACTACATTACATTGATTAATTTTTATCCTAATTTAACTATGTAGGAGTAAAATAAAAACCAAATTAAGAATGATGAACAAGATTATTTACAAAAATATGTTATATTTATCATAATTAACTAATTTACCTAACTTTTTTAATATAATTAAATTAGTTAAATAAATATCATATTAGAGAGAAGTAAGAGAATATAACAGGAGAAAGAACAACATTAAATTTATTTTGATTGAGACTTCCCCAAATTAATTCCAAATGATTTTTAAGTAATTATCCACATAGTCCTTAATTTCTTTGTATAGTACAAATTAATGTCTTATTACTTTGCTCTATCAACTCCGTTAATTAGCTTTATCAAATGAACCATTCTGACACACATATATACACATATATACACCATGTTACCACCTCATTCTCTTCTACCTTACCCTCATAGAGATCAAATCCTATAACCATAAAAATCAAGAGACCGAAGCTAAGGACATGCAAAACAACAACCATTGTAATTCTGAAAATTACAATTCCAGAGGTCCATATCTCGCCATTAACAACGTATATACGCAACAATTTCTTGAATCCTATAACCATAAAAATCAAGAGAATCCTATACGCCGTTTCCTTGAACCATTAATCGTTGTTTCAGCCTTGGAAAACAGAGGAAGAAAATCGATATGCAAGTAGAAATTTTATGCTACATTCGGTCCCTGTTTCGGTGTCACAACCAGTCGGTCCTCAACATGCAACAATCATTAACAAATCCGAACTAACACACGATAGGAAATTCTTGAACCATTAATCGTTGTTTCAGCCTTGGAAAACAGAGGAAGAAAATTGATATGCAAGTAGAAATTTTATGCTACATTCGGTCCCTGTTTCGGTGTCACAACCAGTCGGTCCTCAACATGCAGCAATCATTAACAAATCCGAATTCAAGCACGATAGGAAATTCAAGGACGACAGGAAATTCAGGGAGGACAACAAATTCAAGGACGACCGGGGATCAAACCGGAAAAGCGACATATAACCGGCCAACCTGCAGTAGATCCAAGCTGCCAGAGGTAGATCCAACGGTATATTGCACTGGGAAGCCAAGATCTCCACGCACGGCTCAAACGCAGAGGCAGACGCCGGCGATGTCGGTTGCAGACGGTAAGAGCAACTCCGACTTGTGATGAACGAACGGCATCCACCAAGCCACGGACACCTCACCCCAACAGCTGACCTCGCGATGATGACCGGACGGAGCTCACGGTCACCAGCGACGAGCTTCTCAGACGCGACCACCGACGGACTTTCTCGAGCCGAGCAGAGACGGAGTAAGCTGGGAGCTCGGGTTAAAAGGAAAAGAGAGTCACGAGGGTTAGGGAATAAAAGAAGGCAGATGTGAAGAGAAAAATAAAAGGTGTTGTCAGAACGGTCATAAGCTGAATTCCCAGGGGCCAGAAGCTGCTAGGCACGAGCTTATGCCAATCGTGCGTTCAGGGGGTTTAAAAAATGATAAGCCCAATTGCCATATTGCTCTGCCAAACGGGCCAAATTTTCCACCGAGCTTATAAGTGATTATAAGCCACGTTTGGGCCAGCAAACGCTGACCCAAATAGGCACTAAAATGTATAGAATTTGGTCACTGCCGTTAATAAGTCCAAGCGTCTGTTTCTTTTTTGTTGTGGGCCCCACTATTTTCCATTTGGCATATGCTGCTCGAACTAAATTTAGACACGTGGCACTCCTTTTGACCTTTCCCTGTACCTCTCCTCTCTCATTAGTTCCCAATTCAATGACCTCCACCTCTCCACGTGCTTTCTCACCATGTCTCACTAGATTTATTTTCTTTCGTTTTTTCCCTCTTGGGCTGACTGGGTCTTCTTCCATTTCAAAGACCTCCATTTCTTGATCTTTTTTGCTTATTGATCTAGCAAAGGAAAGTAATAGGTAAGAGGAAGAACTTCTTAACCATGAGGAGTGATTAATCCCAAGACAAAGCCCTCCAATTGATCACCTTCGATTCCCAGGATATGAGTAACACCACTTCAAAGCCCACCCACCATGCCATCAAACTCGATGGCTTCAACTTCAGCACCTCTTTCCTTCAATGGCTTGCTTCTACCTCCACTATGTACGAGCCTTCAGATTCTTCTTACTCCTTTTATTTTGGTGACAGATTCTTCTCACTCCTTTTCTACTGCGTTCTGTTTCTTACACAATATACTCAAGTTTTCTTCTTTGGCTCTTACAATTAGTTTAGTGTGGAATTTTCTATACTTCAGTCAAAATCTGTTGAATCATTTGAGGCTTTTATAGTTTTGATTTTAACATGGGCATAATGGTGATGGATTTGCCAAGGTGGAAAGAGGGAAATCAGACGGGAGAGGACTGACAATTGGATGGAGTTACAGAGGAAGAGGAGGATTTATGAACTGGTTCTCTTCCTCCTTTCTTGTTGGTTTTCACAATGTTGAAGCTATTTAGATGGAATCACTAATTTGAAGGGTTTGATTTTGAGTTGGTAAGAGATTTTGTGGGTTGACGAAGAGATGTTTGAAGGACAGAGAAGTGGACGATGAGCTGGGTTATTTGTAGGTTGAAGCTTGGATAGTTTTTTCATTTACACGGTTGCCATGTATTATGATCACATCAAGCTTCACTCTCTGCCACGTCACCATTTCAAGTCAAACATTTTTCTCTCTCCAACTTTGTAACAATCAACGCGATTAAATTTAACAGTTGTGATAAAATTGCTTCGCATTTTAAAGTTTGTATCTACTTTTGCACCTTTCAAAATTAGATTATGTCAAATGCTCTTAGTGTAAAATTTTATTATTAAAATTGCACCTTAACCCATTTATAATTCATTGTCCAAAGTAGTCCTATTGATTATATATGTTAAGAGGATTTTCATCTAAGGGTAATGATAGTCTAAAAGGGTATTATAAGAAAATAGCTCATATTTATTACAAATAATTAATTTAATTGATTTTTTAATCTATTCAAATTAGTTAAGTAATTCTTATATAAAGGACATAAGGTCGCATATAATATAAATTTTAATATAAATGTATAATCATTTTATTTTTTATATTTTTAAAGTCTGTGTTCTAAAATTTAAATTCCATGCAATTACACAACTTTGTACTCGGAACCTGAACCTAATTTCTCACTGTTTTATTCATACAGATTAATTACCAATAAGTACTTATTTTTTATTTATTAAATTAGTATACAAACTAAAACTAATACTTGAATTATTTTTCATATTTTATGACATAGACATGTTGATTAAAAAACTTGCACATAACCATGATAATGATTAAGAAAAAGGGAAAATGGGTATAATAAAGATTAAGAGAAAACATCAACAGATCATGGATATTTGTTTTATTTAAAAGAAGTTTGATAAAAATATAAAATAAATCAAAGCCAGAATTTCAAGGATTAGGTCCTCTGATGTAATATATTATTTCTATTTCAAGTGACTATGTCTTCTATTGTAATATAAATTGGGATTTAATTTATCTTATAAGCCTCCATGATTTAATGTTGAAGTTTTAAACAACTCAGAACATGTACAGTATTTTTTCATTGTTAATTGGCCGTTAATTCATAACTATGCACAATAAAACAAAGCAATGTTTAGTAGCTATGTAATTTTTTTGAGCTTTGATGAGCCAATATATAGGCCTGATGTATTTGAATTGTTATATATAGTTCAATTTAATAATCATGTAATGAAATTAGATGGCATTAATAAAAATACCATCTTATAAACAAACAAAAAAATTTAAAAGGATTGAATATTAATTAGAGATTTAATTTTTTGGTTCATGGTGAAATCATGAAGACATGCGCTATATATCAAAATAACCCTTTTATTAATATTATTGTCATTGTTGTCGTGCACATACTGAAACATTACATTATACTAATAACAAGAGAAGAAAAGAAGAAGAAAAAGACAGAACAAAGATACACATGGCTACAAAGATTAGCCATGGACATGGTTTGTGAGCAGCCTCTTTAACTTTGCTATTTTTATTGAAGCAAACACATATATCTCATCTGCTACATCTTCCACTCTTCGGAAACAAGCATATCTCCAACTCTTCTTCAACACTAATGTCCCAATAGCACCCCAAAAGCCAACAGCAAACCCAATTGCTACCACAAAATAAAACCACACTTTTTCTGGATCATTTTCATCTTCACATTCTCCAACTTCAAGAACTTGATGAGCATTATCAACTTGACACTTATTTGGTAGCGGGATTCCGCAAAGATAAGGGTTGCCAGCATAAATGGATGGATCATTCAACGTCAAGAATTGATTTTCAGTCAAAATTGGCCCTGAAAGGTTATTGTATGACACGTTCAAATAGCTCAATGTAGTTACCTTAGACATGCTCTTTGGAATTGTGCCAGAAATTTGGTTGCAAGAGATATCAAAGGATTCAAGGGATTTCATATCCCCAATAATCTCCGGAATCTCTCCTTTCAAATGATTGTGTGAAAGGTTCAAGCTTATTAATTTGACAAGGGAGAATAACCCAAGAGGAATTAATCCAACCAAATTGTTATTTGACAAATCAAAGTTAATCTCAAGCTGCAAGATTCTTGTAATGTCAAACTCTCTTCCTTTTATAACTTGTTTTACATGTTGATCAGGCCATTGACTTAATCCCAATCTGGCTGAATTCCATATATGTTTATTAGGCCATTGACTTTCTACGCCAAATTCCAATCTGGTTGAATTCCATATATGTGTGTTATTTACTGCCATTCTTGTAAGATTGCCAATGCAATTGGGTATTGAGCCACTTATGTTGTTATTTGCAAGGTCCAAAATCTGCAATGATTGGAGTTGGCATAGATGTAAAGAAATGTTACCATCCAACATATTATCTCGCAACCTCAGAATGTTCAGTGTAGGAAAAGTGTTGCTAGTCCATGGTGGTATACTTCCAGAAATGTTATTCTCACCCAAATCTAAAATTCTCAATTCTGTCAAATTTTCCAAATTCAATGGAAGCTTCCCTTCAAGATAGTTATTGTTCAAATGCAACCAGAACAATGAAGAAAGCTTGCCGATTGAGATAGGGAAGGCACCCGATAATTTGTTGAATGAAAAATTTATTTCCGTCAATTTACTTGTATCTCTCCAACAATTTGGAATTTCACCAGATAAATTGTTACGAGAAAGATCAATACTTCGTAGATTTACAAGGTGACAAAAGCTTTGAGGGATGTTGCTAGTAAAAGAGTTATTTGAGAGATCAAGAAATTCTAGATTTACAAGTTGACCAAAACTTTGAGGAATGTTGCTCGTGAGAGAATTATTTGAAAGATCGAGGACATATAGATTTGAAAGTTGACCAAGACTTTGAGGAATGTTGCTCGTGAGAGAATTATTTGAAAGATCGAGGGCAAGTAGATTTGAAAGTCGACCAAGACTTTGAGGAATGTTGCTCGTGAGAGAATTACTTGAAAGATCAAGGTGATCTAGATTTGAAAGTTGACCAAGACTTTGAGGAATGTTGCCCATGAGAGAATTACTTGAAAGATCAAGGTGATCTAGATTTGAAAGTTGACCAAGACTTTGAGGAATGAGGCCACTTAAAGAATTATTTGATAGATAAAGACTTCCTAGATTTACAAGTTGGCCAAGATTTTGAGGAATGAAGCCACTTAAAGAATTATTTGATAGATAAAGACTTCCTAGATTTACAAGTTGGCCAAGATTTTGAGGAATGAAGCCACTTAATAAATTACTTGATAGATCAAGGCTTCCTAGATTTACTAGTTGACCAAAACTGGGAGGAATATTGCCATAAAAATAATTATTTGAAAGATCAAGGCCTATTAGCTTTTCAAGATGCCCTATCCAAGTTGGCAAATGGCCATTGAGTCCATTCCCACTCAAGTACAGTTCCTCTATATCATGTTTGATGCATCCAGATAAATCAGAGTCACCAAATGCTTGTCCTTGAAGATTGCTCTCATAAAAATCTAATCTTTTTAAATGACAAATGTTTTTTAAGATTTGTGAGACAGAATTTTCTAGTGTGGTCGGGACTTGATTCAAGGAGATATCTAGATAGTGAAGGCTCCTTAACTCTCCCAACCAAGATGGAATTGAACTAAAATTGTTTAGAGAAAGGTCAAGGTATTCAACAAAAGTCCAATTTTGAAACATATCAAGGATTCGACCATCAATTTCATTCTGAGCCAGATTCAAGACCTGAACTCTAGTATTATTTGTGAAATTGAATGGGGGAAGAGGAGCAGACAAGTTGCCAAGTCCACATCCTTTTAATTGGAGTTGTGATAAAGAAGGAAGCATATGAAGTACCTGGAACAAGTTGTGAGCTTCTCCAAGGTAGACTTCACTAAGATTGAGGTGTTGCAAAGACTGAAGTTTAGGGATCCAACTCATGTCTTTGATAAGCAGACCATTCCAACTGAGATCAAGAAATTGCAACGCTGTGAGGTTTCTACCAAGATTGGTAGGAATCTTCCCTGTGAAATTAGACTCAGAGATAGAAAGATATCTCAGCCTCCCCATAGAACCAAGAAAGGCAGGAATCGAGATGGCATTGAAGTTGTTTAAGCTCAAATCCAAATAAATCAAATGCTGCAACTCCAACAAAGATGGATCAACACCAATAGCTTGCAGGGAATAGTAACTGAGATCAAGTTTGAGAATATGACCAGTAACATTGTGACAAGCGATGCCATCCCATTGGCAACAGTTGGTTTTGGGATTCCAGGAGGAAAGGTTTTTATATGGATCATCATAAATAGATGCTTTGAACTTGAGAAGAGCTTGCTTCTCTGATTCAATGCATCTTCCACACAAACCTAATTGGGCAATTCCCAACAACAACAAGAAAAGCAACACAAATCCTAACATGGTGTGTCTTCCCATATCGATGAGAAAAGCTTCGGCAAAGTGAATTTTCTATATGGTGAATTTCTATGGAGAAGTGGAGTGTGCGGTTTGTTCAATACATACAACTCATATTTATAGATGACTTTTTTTTAACCAAAAAATGTGATAAAAGATAATCATGAGTTGTATACTTTTAAAACAAACAACTATTCACTTGTGGTTTTCTTCAACCTTTATGTTCAAATTATATATTAAAAGAATTTAAAAGATGAAAAATACATGGTTAGCATCAAAGTACCCTGAGCACTAACAACAAAATAAAAGCAATTTACTTTCAAATTGCAATGATGCGTCAATATGGTTGTTACACATTCATGTTAGATATTGAAATTGTTAAATGTAGACTCATTTAAGTATGAAATTAAATTTTAAACTATTCAATTGTCTAGTCTATACATACTTTTTTTTAAAAAAAAAAAAAAAGACTACATCTTTGGTCTTTCTATTTAATTATAATATTATACAAAATTTAAAACAAAACAAAGCCATTGGTATAAGCAGCCAAGGATATAGATTTAAAACTGTTTTTGGGTAAAATATAAATTTAAAACTTTAATAGCATAAAATTATTAAAGCTCACTGATCTCGTCAATTTTATACATGAAAATGTTTCAAACAGAGAACAAATGATTTTGAATGACTACAATTAACAAAATCATCAAATGTCAATCAAATTAGACGTTCAATAGCTAGAGCAGGATGATCATTCTGGGAAAAAATCGAAAATAACATGGGACAAAATATTGTTGGCGAAAAAAATATATGTGAAAAAAATTATAAAATGTAAAATGTGTCAAGTTCTAGATTAATCATGAATGTAACAATTTTGCAAATATTATAAAAATTAGGAACCTTTCTTGGCGAACGTTTGAACAAAATTTATTGTTGAAAAATGTTAAAAAATTTTAAAATAATTAAATGTAGGAGCTAGTTAGTTAATTTATATAGATTAAAAAAACAACTTAAATTTATTATTTGTAGTATATCTAGAAAAATTTATTAGTTTTCGTAAAAACCCCTCCTGGTAATGTACTCAACAAAAAGCTGGTAAAAAAAAATTTGTACTCAACAAAATTAATGTCGAATGGGTTGTTTTAAACATTTTAGCAATACACCCTTTCCATCGTTGGTTCATTTTTGTTATACTCACTCTAATTATATAAGAAGATTTTTTTGAGGAAGATATAATCCTACTTATAAGAAATCTTAATAGGATGTCTGAAATTTCTAGTATTATTTTTATTTTTACCTCATTAATAACATGTTGTATGATTGCGTTGATTCCACATCTTTTTTTCTATTTCTCTCCCACCACTCTCCACATAAATCAGATTATTTTTAAAAAATAAAATATATTTGCATACACGTATTATTTTTAACCAATTTTTTGGCACACACGATCTGGTACTTCATATCTTACACACACGCACACGCGCACACACAAGTCATCACTATCTACCGCATGACACGCAATATCATTGACTGACTTGGGACAACCGTGTAGAACTGGGAAATTCCACGAGGCCTACCAAATAAAGTGCAAAACCATACATGATTGCACCATTCATGCAACAAAGAGATATTCATTTGATTTTACTTACATGTCACTTTTAACATATTTAACCAAAATTAAAAACAACTCTTAAATCTTATTAACTCTGCCTTAAATTTAATAATTTTGAATTTTACTATCTAGGTAAGAAACCATTGACTCACTTATATATCATAAATTCTTAATGTGCTAAAACCAGACAAAAAGTCTCCAACAAATAAAGTGAAAACTCAATTATATTAATGTGACACTTTCTTCCTGAAGTGTCCATGCGTGTTCTACTTTTTATATTTTTCCTTTCTTTTCTTTTACTTTTTTTCCCTTTTGTTTTATTCACATACGGGGTATGAAATGCATCAGAGAAGTCTTTAATATCAGTCCTTTTTGTAAGTAAAAAAATTGTTTCTGTTTTGATATCTAAAAAAATGACATTTTTATTCTTACCCTTACCAAACACTAAATGCCTAAAACGAAATTAATTGATAAATTAAAATTACTGTATTTTAGACATATTAATAAAAAATGAACAGATCAATTATATTTCTTAATGGGAAGCATCGCAGCAAATAAAGTAAACAAACATTGATTGCTGAGGAGTTTATTTGTGTGGGTGTATGTGTATATATATATCAATTAATTAATTATATAAATATATATATATATATATATATATCGGTGTGTGTGTGTCTGTGTGCACGCGCTATACGGTTGAATCAATAAATCAATGAATCAATAAATTGTTTTAGGCTAAAATCCACAAAACGCCCTTGAACTTTGAGTTAGTTGAGTATAACCTCCCTTACCTTTAAAAATTTAAATTAAGAACCCTTATATTTAGTATTTTATTATTAACTCCCTGCCGTTAAAATTACCATAAAGTTAACTGTTTTTGCCTTTAAAAAATAACACTTGTCATTTGACATCTAATTTTAAGTAATTTATAATTTTTTATTTAAAGAGGACTCAATCAAATAATTATATTAATAACTTTTTTATTTTTTTAAAGTAATTAAATATTTCATTTTAAGTATTTACAAAAGTTTAAAATTGCTTGTTTAAATTGTCAGGATTATTTTTTAAATGACATGACATATAATAAAAAATATAAAAATATTGACATGGCAAAAACCGTTAACTTTAACTATAATTTTAATAATAAGGGATTAATAATCAAAACACTAAATATTAAGTTCTTAATTTAATTTTTAAAAAATAAAGGAGGTTATACCTAACTGACGTAAAATTAAGGGAAGTTCTATGTATTTTAGCCATATAAATATGAATTTTCACAACACAAAATTACTATTTATTTAGACAACTAGAATTTGCTAATTTATAACACAAGTACGAATTTTCACAATATAAATTTATTATTTTTCTGGACAACTTATTTTAATATCCATAATTTCTTTTTTAGGTCATTTTGGTCTTTTATGTTAACAAATTAATTTCACTTTACACAGTGGTGCAGTAACACTTCAGACTTTTATGAAAACATTTGGATATTATTTCGCTATTGTGGGGACTAAGTGAAATTTTCCTTTAAAGTTCAGGCCACCCTTATGAACCAATTTTATAACGTTAAGGGCATAATTGCACTGTGCTACCAAATAATTTAGGGTGTTGACTGAATTTTTTAAGATAGTTTCGGTTGTTGAATACACATTAATCCTAAACTTTATGTTATATATTAATCCCCAAAAATTATATATTAACCATCATTTAAAAATTGATATTGTCCAACAAAGTCAATTTCTTTTATTCCCATTATTTATTTTCAACACAGTTGCTTTCAAGGTTTATTTATGATATTTCTTTGTTTATCCCATCTTGCTTAATTCCTGCTTCAGCAACTGAAATTTTCTCTTGTAACCAGGAAGTTCCCGTCCCGATCTCACTTGTAATCTCATACAGTTAATATCTACCAACTTAAATAAAAAGAAACAAATAATATACAATTTGCCGAAAAAGCTTTTTATCCTATATTAATATTGACTTTAACTATTGATCCATTGCACAGTTATTGTATTTACCTCAAGTCTGTTGAATTCTTAATAAGTTAGTTAATATAAAAAAACATGTTAAATTCTAAAGTCAGTCAACAATTACTTGTTCTTTGATGCTTTGCAAATCCTTTCAACATGGTATACGTAATATCAATAGAACGTGTAGAGTGAGAGTTCTTTCTCTTAGCAAATTAATGAACGAGGTATTTGGATTTTTTGAGGAAATGGAGCGTAGCTAAAAGATGAGAAATGGATGGTGGAGGATCATACTTATTATCCAAGAAAGAAATTAAATGTCTCCCATCAAAGACTTGTAACTTGGCAGCATTATTAGATGAGGAATGCATGGTGGAGGATCATACTCATCATCCAAGAAAGAATTTAAATGTCTCCCATCAAAGACTTGTAAATTGGCAGCATTATTAGATATATGACTTCAATAACTTTTGCATACCTTAAAATTATTTAATTATTAAAGTCCAGTCTTTCGACATACGAACTTAAGATTTAAAAGGACTGATTTTCTTACGTTATTTTTTAAAATATAAATTCTTTTTCAATTATTTTAAAATTGAAAAGTTAATTAATATTAAAAAAAAAGGTCAAATTCTAACATCAGTCAACAAATACTTGTTCTTTGATGTTTCGCGAATCCTTTCAACACGTTATACGTAATATCAATGGAACGTGTAGAGTGGGAGTTCTTTCTCATACCAAATTGATGAATGAGGTATTTAGATTTTTTGAGGAAATGAGGCATAGCTAAAAGATGAGGAATGGATGGTGGAGGATCATACTTATTATCCAAGAAAGAAATTAAATGTCTCCCATCAAAGACTTGTAAATTGGCAGCATTATTAGATATATGACTTTAATAACTTTTGGCATACCTTAAAATTATCTAATTATTAAAGCCCAGTTTTTCAACATACGAGCTCAAGGTTTAAAAGGATTGGCCTTTTTATATTATTTTTAAAATTTAAATTCTTTAATTACTTTAAAATAAAACAATAAAACATTTAAAATTTGTTGTTCAAATTATAAATATTAGTAAAATAAACTAGTAGTGTGTAAAAAATATTAAATAGATATAAGCTATTTTCCAAAATTAAAAAAAATAAAAACCTAATGAAACAAGGAAAATAGAAAGATAGAAACCTAGCAGCTAAAGATTTACAGTATCAGTATCATTATTATCTTTATCTTCATCTTCGTTACTATCATCATGATTAATAATATTTGATTATTTTTCACTACAAGTAAACTCTTCTTCAGTGATAAAAATATCAATGTTTTTGTCTTCATCACCATTATCCAAAGTAAAACAATACAGTAGTTATAAGTGCAAATGAGAGCCTGACCATTTGTTAGAATAAGAAAATTTTTATACTTTGTTAAGAGATGTGAACTGATGGTAA